ACCTAAGGTATGACAAATGGTGCAACTTCTAACTTGTGCAAATTGATATTTCAAAATGTTAAGTTTATCCATCCATCCATCCATCCATCCATCCATCCATCATTTATCCATCCATCCATCCATCCATCCATCCATCCATCCATCCATCCATCCATCCATCCATCCATCCATCCATCCATCCATCCATCCATCCATCCATCCNCCATCCATCCATCCATCCATCCATCCATCCATCCATCCATCCATCCATCCATCCATCCATCCATCCATCCATCTTCTCCCGCTTAGTCCTTGTCAAGGTCTCGGTGGGGCTGGTGCCTATATCCGGCAGTCTATGGGCGAGAGGCGGGATACACCCTAGACAGGTTGCCAGTCTGTTGCAGAGTTTTATGTTTAATCTTTAATCTTAACAAAGAATACTAATATCATTTAACGGGATTTTTTTCCTGGTTCATGATTTAAAAAAAATAAAAAATCAAGTTTGTTCCTTCTCTGTCACATTCTCCACTTTCAATTTTACTAAAAAAATGATCACTGATGAAAAGGAAGGAGGCTGAATGCGGAAAAGGAATCACTGCATAAGTGACAGACATGAAAAAGCCATAAACATAAAATACCCAGAGCATTTGAGGAGTGTAAATGACAAGCAAACCTTTCAGTTCCTGAGTGACTGTTAGTCATCAAGGCTCTGGTGGTCAAACCAAATCAGGGAACATTAAATGAAAAGCCGTATTTCAATTTAGAAATATGAAAGGAAGCAAACCCCTGCTGAGCAACCACCAAACAATAAATTGACTGCATGATTGATGATTAAAAAAATGTGAGAAATAAGCTTTCAATAACAGCTACCACAGCATGCACCTTTCTGAATAATGGAGCAGCCACATGTCTTTTAAGTTCATTTTTGATCCAGATGGAAAAAAAATAATAATTTGTCAGTTCCTTTATTACATAAAATCAATATTGAAAATGAAAGTTCTTTTGATCTTTTTGACAAATTTTTCCAGACCACAAGCTCCATCTGCCTGTACAGACTCGGCTAACAATGTCGAAGGGAGAACGTGTACAACACAGACGATAATGATCCTGTGAATGTACAGATCAAGGTCTCCTCGTTCCGGTGATTAAGCATCCTAACGAATGAATGTTGGAGGACACGCTTTATCACCTAGGTCCACACAGAGCTCTTTCCATATCTATCATTCTCAGATGGCCAACCTGCGCCTGCCATGTGCTGTAGGCTGCCAAATAAAAACACCACAGGCGTCGCCTCTGTGGTCTGCCTGGCTTGTTTTATGTTTAGTTTTTCTCATGAAACAAATCCTTTCACAGCTTGGTAAAAAAAACAAAAAAAAAAAAACTAGAAGTTTTAACTCCTTATCACGGCTGGACAACTAGCCAGTGATTAAAACAGGAAAAAAGAAAGAAAAAAAATGGAGCCTGGAGGATTTCTGCTGCTTATTTAGCTTCACAGCTTGACAAACCCGTTTACCTTGGTTCCAATTTAAATTCTCAAGTACTTAAGTGTTTTGGGGTTTTTTTGTTAGAGGGAAAATTCATTGGTAAGCAAGAAGAAAAACAACACAGAAAATGTTTCTACAGCTTGAAATGGGCAATGCATCATTAGTGTGTAATCTGTTAATATTGTTCTTCTTTGAAAGAAAATGCTTTTATTTTGCATTTTTGCTTTTGAAAAACGAAATGGATAAATTAATTTGCACCCTAATCTGACCTTCTCTGATCATTTATAAACATTATAAAACTAGTGCATTACTCATATAAATAACATTTTTAAAATAATTTTTATTGATACTCTAAAACAGGAGTCTTCAACGTTTTGGAGGACTGTCAAACTGATGGTGAGATGGATTGCAGACCCCTTAATTTTATACATATCGATGAAATAGTGTTATATCAAACTGGTCCTATAGTCACTCTCTTACAGATGTAGTAATGCAACGAAAGTAATGTCGCACTGGGATTATTGAAGTATTTCTGAGTCTGATTCCACGTAGATGGGTCAGGTGTTGTAAATGAAACAGTGCCCAGCTTGAAAAAGCTCCTATGTGTCGCTGATTGTGTGCATTGATGCCTGGAAGACATCTTCTGCCTCCATTTATCTGTTTACCACAGTGTGTTGAATTGATGTTAATGTTTATTTAAAGACATTTCAATTAGTGGAAAAAATTGCAGGGGAGAATATAAAAAAAGTCTAATCAAGTAAAACTTTCATGACCCCCATGCAGTACCTCCATGTACCCCCTAGGGGTCCAGACCCCCTGTTGAAGAACTCTGCTCTAAAAGTAATAACTTTAAGGTTAAGCCCCCTTGAGGTAGTTAGCAGCATTGCATAGCCACGAAACACTCTCCCTCTGTGGTTTGGAATCTGCTAGCAGACCACTTTGAACTAACAGACTTGTGCTACGTTAACACCGCAGGCAGCAGAGGCAGCAGAAGCACCTAGTTTACATGTAAAATCAATGGTTGACGCTCATCAAGGCGCAGCAAAAGGTCCCACGTCACATTTTGAGCAACAGGAGCAGTGCAGCACCTCACGAGCTTCTAAGCATCTGACTCCCGCGAAGCCCTGCGAAAGCAGCAGCTGCTTGGGTCAAAAAAATTTTACTTTTGCTGCTTGACACTCCACATCAACCATTCAGAGAAGCTGATCAGGGAGCTGGCAAGGACACAGACACAGCACTGCAAGTGCAGATCGCTATGATCACTCCACTGGACCAGTTTATCAACACCTAAATTAACGTCAAATGTCAAAACCTGGAAAATATGTTTGATTTTACAATTCTGGGGCCTGTAGTTTGGATTACGTACGTGGAAAAACACCTTCTAGTTGCCGCAAACAGTTGCAGAAAACCGCAAAGAGGCGACTGAGCCAGAGGCTGCTGTTGAACGGGATTCCCAGTGACAGCGCACCGCAGGTGTACGGGGGTCTGAGCGGCTCTGACATTGAAATAATATTTAGGCAGGATCGTAATCTTCATGAACTGACTGCACAGATGAGGTTTTCAGGTGGACTTTCTCACTTAAAAACATTAAAACTACATTTTACCCACTTATAACAGCAAATATAGCTGCCATTGTTATGGGCAAAGAAAGGATAGGGTACTCTGCCCAACGTGCATTATACCCACTTTTCGACAACACAGCAAGAGCAGCAAAGATGCCTCAGCTGCATGTCAGAACTAAACTTGTGCAAGCATTATAAAATGAAGCAGCACACGCATTTTTGCTGCTCCTACTGTGTACGGTGTGACTAAAGAAGTCATGGAGTTCCTTGTAAAGAAAAGGCCACATTCAACACTCTACATCTACATTCAAACTCTACATCAGAGAACCAAAATGTCTAATCAGCTAAGTGTTTATTTGTTGCCTAACAACAACAGCGCTCTCATGCTAGCCGAGAGACATAGTCCCTCAATGGTATTCTGGGGGTGCATTGAACAGCTCCTCATGGAGGCATCCAGGGTCATCTGAAAAAGAGAGGAGGGAGCCAGCAGAACCACATCATCCGCAAAAAGCAGGGAAGAAATCCCCAAAGGAGACCCCCTCCCTTCCTTGGCTGCACCTAGAAATCATGTCCATGCAGGTAATGAACACGACCGAAGACAGAGCGCAGCCCTATAGGCCCAACATGCACAGGGAGGGGAGTCCGAATTAATTAATTAGTGCAGACCAGGCTCCTGCTCCGCTTGTTCAGAGACTGATTGGTCCCTAGTAAAGGGCCCCCGACCCTGTACTCCTGGAGCACCCCCCACGGGGCACCACAAGTGACACGGTTAAAGGCCTTCTCCAGGTCCACAAATGTGGACTGGTTGGGCAAACTTCCATTAACCCCCAGGCCTCCTGGAGAGGTTATAGAGCTGGACCAATCTTTCTCAGCAGGGATGGCAAACGCACTGCTCCTCCTGAAGTCAAGGTTTGACAATCAGCCGGATTCTCCTCCCCAGCAACCTGACATAGGCCTTCAAGAATTCAGCCCGGGTGATGACTGAATTCAGCCCTGAGCACCCTGTCCTTTCTTCGACCATGGAAAGTGTTCTAGCCGAATTGAGGAGATTCTCAAAGTATTCCTTCCACCAACCCACAATGTCCCCTTCAAGGTTAGCAGCTCCCCACTTCCGCAGAAAACGTTATTAGGGAAGCACTGCTTCCCCTTTCCAGAGGCTGTGTACGGTTTGTCAGAATCACTCTTGTCAGAATTGCACTCTTATATCTTGTGTTTAAGTGGAACTAAGACTGTTATAATGCAGCACTTTGGGTCACACGATTCTTTCAGTGACGGATCCAACCCTCACAACTTACATGGGGTTGAGATATTGTGACTTCTTTAGAATATTCTAATGTTATGACTTCAGTCCTGTAAACATAATATTATATCTTTATTGGGGCTACTCATTTATGCAGTGGGTAGCACTGCTGCCTTGCAGCAAGAAGGTTCCTGGTATGATTCCTGGCCTGGGATCTTTCTGCATGGAATTTGCATGTTCTCCCTGACCTAACATTAGGTTCTTTCCGGGTACTCTGGCTTCCTGCCACAATCCAAAGAACATGACTGTTAGGTTAATTGACTTTCCAGGGTGTACCCCTCCTCTCACCCTTAGACAGCTGGAGATAGGCACCAGCACCCCTCGCGATCCCTCTTGGGATTAGCATGATGGAAAAATGGAATGATGGTCATAATAACATGACGTCATTTTTAGTATGGTAACATACATTATGTTACTGAGAACACGTTTAATGCCACTGCTGACTAAAGATCTCTGGAAGGCGAAATATGTCACATACCAGGAACACCTTAAAATGAATAAGCAAGACCTTTTTCAGAAACTCCCAATCATTATGTTTGGTGGTAGAAATACTATTGTTAACCCCTTGTCTAGAACATTTCTACAACTTAGTGAAACTTACAGAAAAAAACAAAGAACAGAATGACACAGAGAGTTTGGAAGTTGGATTGAATTAATGATAAGAAGCTTCCTTACCTAAGAGTGAACATCTCCACGGTGGAGTAGGGAGATACACTGATGAAGGTGGACACAGTCTCCCTCTGTCTCCTAGGTGTGGCTGGAACCATGACCAGAAAGTTGTTATCCAGCCATTGCTCACTTAAAGGGGGCTCTGTGGGGTTCTTGAAGAGTCTCACTCCACCAATCCTCTTCAGTGGCGTGGAGGTATAGATACCAAACAGCTCTTCTTGATTGGAGCGGATGAAGCTCTCCTTTCTAGACTCCTCTGAGCGGCATTCTCCTGCTTCCGTGGTTCGCAGTAAATAGTAGAGCTCCACCGGGGTGCCCTCAGACACCTCAGCATTCCTCTGCCGTCCTGGCACTACGCTGGGGGAGCTAAACCAACTGGCCAGTGGCTCCAACTCAGCCACACACAGTCCCAACTCCCCTTTGAGCTGACAGGTGCCACGAACCTCCTGAGTCTCATGAAAAGCAAACATGTGTACACAGGGCAGCTTATCAGTGGTGCTGTAGTCATCCCAGTCCCTGCCTGCTATGTAAAACAGAACCTGTACTTTAGGCTTGGCTAAGTCAATCTGTGTGTTCATGATAAAGGTTTGCACCTTCCAGTTGAAAGTGAAGACTGAAGAGGCGGGGAAGGTCCGAGGACTCTGCAGAAGCTCTAAAGGAACAGGCTGCACCACCGATAAAGGTCCATAGCTGGCATTCACAGAGGGCAAGTTTCTGGCCTGGTAGATGAAGAAAGCCTCAGTCCTTGAAGTCAGGCTAGAGTTTCTCATGAAGTCCTGGTTGGCTTCCTTAAGGAAAAACCCCAAATCAGCATTTAGCAGCTGATAGTTGACAGGCAGGTATGTTGGGGAAGAGGAGTATCTCTGTAAACCCTCCAGGACCCGACAGTCTGCCGCTAGAAGGAAGAGCAGAAAAGCGAGGTTAGAAGCAGTTCACCTTAAAGTCCTCATTTATAACCAATCTAACTCTACTTATAAATCTAGAACTAAAAGCCCACTGCAAGAAATAAAAAAAGGATTAATCGTTTTCCCAGTTCCGATCAATAAATCTAATTTTAAAAAGATGTAGAATAGGCCCAAAAAGGGCACTCTGATGGAGAATAACTGAAAGTTTTATATTTTCCTATAAGAACTTGGTCTTTTTGTTTCCTACAAGATTTCATTATTTTCTAAAAGGTAAACAAACAAAATTCAATACTCATCGACGAGAATTGCTCACATCATTATATCCTGACTGAGTCAGTAGAAAGCAAACATGTAAGCCTCTAAAAAAGCTGAAGTGCCTAGAGAATTGATCATTTCTAAAATACAACCATTATTTTTGTTTTATATGAAGAGTAGCTTCTTCCAGGAAAATTGCACTCTGAGATTTCCTTCCATGAATAAATGGTGGAATGTCTGAACATTGATTTTTAAACTTGAGTCAAAAAATTACAAAAGAACAAAGAGTTTCTATAAGAGTAAGAGTATTTCAGTTTCTGAGAACGATTCAACAAGATGGTAATTATGTTATTAAATCAGCACTGTATGCCTTTTACAATAATGTGTTTTATACTTTATATTTTAAACTTATGTTGCTCTATTATGTGTTGGCAGTGAAGAGCAGAATTAATGTGCTAAGGGCCTCTTTGATTAGATAGAATTTTAGTTACATTCAAAGAGCCTGGAGAAAAGAAACTGATTAAAATGTGGAAAAAAAACTTTTGTTTATTGAATTTACTTCCTGTTTTCCCTTCCTGTCTACATAGGTGCCTATTAACACACTTCCAGCTGGAAGGTGAATCCCTGCCCCAGTCCAAAGTGTCTTAAAACCTTGTTCTTAGCCAGAAATGCCTTGCATTTTGCTCCATCCATCTTCCAATCAATGCTACCAGCTTTCCTGTCCCCACTTATGACAAATATCCCCACGTGTGACACCCCATATGGTGGACGTGTTTTTGTTCGGTGTGAATTTTCTACTACTTTTGGTGCGGTAAACCAGAAGTTCAAATTTTGTTTCATCTGGCCATAGCGTCTTCATTCAAACATTTGCTGTGCCTCCAGCATGGCTTGTGACAATCTAATTGACAATCTAATCTTTAACTTTCTGTTAAAGAAAATTTGGAGCAGTTCACCAAACGAACGTCCAATCAGCGTTGGCTTTGAGGCGGGTTGAGGTGTGAGGCAAAGAGAAGCGCAACAGTTCACTCTAAAGAACATGGCGGCTTCAGCAGATGAAACTAGCGTTAGCGTGGCTATCGAGCAAGTTTTATCAGAATTCAGAGTATTTCTTCACTGAAAGAAGAACAAAACACTGCTCTGGAGGCTTTTCTCAGAGGAAAAGATGTTTTTGCTCTTCTCCCGACTGGTTTCGGCAAGAGTTTGATCTATCAATTGGCTCCTCTTCGTCGTCGCTCTGTTAGTACGTCATATGCTTCGTTGATCTGATTGGTTTATTTGGCCCGTCTATCACCAACATAGGCCAATCAGCTAACCAGTATTTTCGCCTCTTCCCAAAATTACTTCAACAGAAGGTTTCCAGATGGATATGCGGAGCAAATCTATCAGGCGGAGTCATGTTATGTTTTATCAACTTCGATTTCCACAAAGACCACTTTGGTGGGTTCTCCAACTTAACTTTGAGCTTGGGACAGTGTTTTATTACGCGATCTTTAGCCTTCCCAACAAATTCCTCACTGACCTATAGTGCTGTTTGCTCACTAATGATCTCTAACATATATGTGATGCTTTAACACCTGCTGTATTTATAAAGATGTTTCATTAAAAACCTGTCCACTATATCGACAGTCGAGCCTGATTTCTCAGGAAGCTGGTTGCACTGTACTTCATTTAAAGATATTAGGGTAAATAGATGAATGAAGTTACTTAATAAGCAAAAATGAACGTTAGTTTCCCACATTAAATTACAATGAAATACGCAGTTTTGTGTTTGTAATGCGACAAAATGTAAGATAAATTAAGAAGTCTGAGTACTTAGGATTTCAGTGAACAACACAGTGTTGCTTACCAATATGTTGCCTGTTTGTTTCTTTATTTCACACTGCTTGAGAAACATTGAGGCAAGGTTGATATAAAGACACATTTAATCTTTATAAGGATGGAATATGACCTTCTTACAATCAATCTACAAAGTGATTACCCTCCCACAGTCCCATCTCTGCGCTAGCATCCACAGCATTTCCCTCTACTGATCATCCCTGTAAATCACTGTCCAAACAGGTAGCAAATCTGTCATGAATTTTCAGATTCATGGTGCTTATAAGCACCTCTGTTCAGCTGCTGTCCTAGTCAGAGATGCAAAAGGAGACAGCTGAACCTCAACTTTTGCATCCGTCTGGATTAAATTCAAATCCAAATCAGTGGAGAGCTTTTGACTATAGATATAGCTCTTTTGAGAAGCTGAGCGATGAAGGGTGATTTATATTTATTTGTTGGCTTTGTGTCAATTGTTTTCTCTAGGCATTGTTTTATATGGAGTATTACAAGACATTAGTGAGGGTAAATAAAAAGTTCTTTAACCCAGAATGACAATGCAGTCAGAAAGAAATCCATCCTTTTGTTTGTAAGCCATAGCATGACATTAATTCCAATACAAGTGGCTCATGTCTCTTTTATAAACAAAGAAAAGGTCTTGATTGAGGTCGTGTTTTTCTGTATTAAAATTTAATTTACTGTCTTTACATCTTTATTTATGTACGGTAAGTAGCTAGAAAAACCTTTTGTTGCATACACAGATCTGTATCTACGTCTCATTATCCAACTAGGAAGAACAATGCTTGCTAAAAGATCTTTTCTGTTTAGACTTAGTCAAACTGATTTCCATATTTCATTCCGTCTAGCAAACAGAGGGGTGGTTTAGCAATTTGCCACTGAGCATCATTATGCTAGTAAATTTGGTTCTTGCATCTTTGAGGATGTCACTATGATAGGCATTACATACCAAAATTTTCGAGATCAAAGACACTAAACATGCAATTATCCAGTTTCTGTAAAAAGTGTTTGGTTATAAGTATTTTACTAAATGGATGCACCTTCCAAAAAGTAAGAAACCAATCTAGTCATAGCTACAGTAGAAGCTTACCATCCACCTTTCCATCCTCCCACCCACCATCCATTATTTCATACATCCACCGACCATCCATCCATTCATCCATCCATTCATCCTCCCACCCACAATCCACCCACCCTCCATCCATCCATGCACCTTCCATCCATCCATCCACCCATCAATTCATCCATCCATTCATCCATCCATCCTCTCATCCACCATCCAGCGACCATCCATCCATCCATCCATCCATCCATCCATCCATCCATCCATCCATCCATCCATCCATCCATCCACAATCCACCCACCAACCTTCCATCCATCCATCCATTCATCCATCCACATCCACCCATTCATCAATTCATCCACCCACCCACCTACCATCCATCAATCCATCCATCAATCCATCCATCCATCCATCCATCCATCCATCCATCCATCCATCCATCCATCCATCCAAATCCATCCATCCATCCATTAATCCATACATACATCCACAACCCATCCATCCATGTACAGTTGTACATATAAGTTTACATAACCTCCGATTAAAGAAAATCATAATTTCACCCCAATAATTCACATAAAACTGAAAAAAAAGAAAATAATGAATAAAAATTGACTAGCTATTTTACTGAGAACTTTTTTATTCTTACTTTAGTAATTTATTCAATGGCTACTATTTACATCTACTTCAGTACAAAAATGCTAACGTAGTCGTACCATAACTTGGGTAAAATTATGGGCTACTATACCCACCTCTGTATATATACATTAGACATCCTACTGTTACGATTTGTTTTCTAAGTTTATGTTGGAAAACTGTAAAGTGTTTCTTCTGCTTGAATTTAATATATGTTTTATAACCGTTTTAATTGTGTTTTTTAATTTTTTTTATGAATTTTAAATAACTTTATGTCTGATTACATCATTCTAAATATTAAATCAGATGTTACAACTCAACAGTTATTCAGCACTTGAGTAGCCCTTTTATCAAGTATATATTACTTTATTTTAGGAAAAATGTTAAAGCAGTGCTTCTCCAAACACTGTTTTGTTTTCAAATCCCCCAACCTCCTATCATCCATGACAAGAAAAGGAAAAGCAATTTACCAAGATTTGCAAAAAATCTAAACAAACATGTTGAAATTTAAAATAGTGGGCTGCAGGAGGAGACGACCACACTAGATGCTCAGAAAAGTAGAAAGAAAACAGAAAGCAAAGGCTACAGTTTTTGCATACAGTCACAGTTAGGAAAAGGATTTTACCCATTCAACTGTATGCTGGTTTCACCGGATCCATTCAAAGGGTAGAGTCTGAATTTGGCATAAACCAGAAAAAAAAAGAAACGTATCCGTTCACAAGGTTTGGCCATAGTATGATGGTTTGGGAGATATATAGGAAAAGGGCCTTTTACTACAAACAGATGATCACTAGAATACATTAGACTATCTAATGAATTCTCCACCACGTCCACCTTTTCAATGGCCACAGTCAATCCATCTAGGAATGGCTATTTTCAGTAGGATAATGAGATTGAAGATTACCTTATTTCCAGCTGATGTTCCTGAACATGACAATATGTTCACACAACACCCTTCACAGTCCCAGATATGAATCGAACAGGGACAAAATAAATTATCTGCAGCAAGGAAACCCCTTGCCATTAAGTCACTCTTTTAAGCCACATCATTTTTCCTAACAGCTTTTATGACACCTTGACTCTATGCCATAAAAAAAGTCATTTTTGAGAGCAAAAGATGCCATAATAAAGTTTACCTAATGAAGTTTGTAAGTGTATTTGATCTCTAACTATGATCCTTTTGGCTGTGGGTGAAATAAATCAAT